CTCGTGCCGGCGGAGGATCTGGACGGGTTTGTCGACCGCGTCATGGGGCTCGCCGAGGATAGAGGTGCGCGCGAGGAGATGGGCAGACGGGCGAGGGAGATGGCGTGTGAAGCGACGTGGGACAAGATTAACAACCAGGTGGCGTGGCGCATGGCCGACACGATCGAGGAGCGCGAGAAGGAGTTGGCACAACTGGTGCCGCCGGTGAGACGCGCGCCGCTGTATCGTCAGACTAGTCAGTTGGCACCCATCTACGGGTGGCTGTCGACAAGGGAGGCCGCCCGCGAGGTCGTCACGTCTCGCATCGTCGATGCGAGGCTCGCCGGCGGATTCGGCGTTGTCATGACGTTTTGGGTCTTCACCGGGTTGTACCTGGCCCTGACCGAGGTTGGCCTGTGGGTGCGCGGCATGATGCCGCGAAGAGTCGGGAGGGCTTCTGCCGAGACGGACGGACGTTGACCAGTGGCTCGGGACGGGAGGTCGGGGCAAGGTTACAATCTTGCTATATCAGGAACAAAGACTGACTCGGGGGCGGGCACTGGAGTGCGTCTTCTCGAAAGATTGATGATATCGTGGGGGGGGGGGGGTCAGTACATTAGCATGGTATAGCTATCTGGGGTGGGGGGAGAGAAATCCCCGGATTAGGATTCTTTGGTCGTTTTGCGCTGGTGTCTGGTGTTCAATTGCAGCGGACGACGACTTGTTATGCTCTCTTTCTTTGTGTTCGATGGTTTCGAGATACCTCCATAGGCCATGTCTTTCGCCACAGACATGACTCAGGCACGAGATAAGAACGGCTGCAGCTGCGTACATGAATACGACGACCTTTTGATGATAGGAATGACGGGACGTGCGCGGCGTGCATGATTTCAGGGTTGTATCAAGGGAGCCAGCCGCCTGGTTTGGTCTTGCTGGTCCAAAAAATGGCTCCCCATCCGTGTGCCTGTGTTCCAGCCGGCGATGATTGAAAATTAGGCCTGCAGTGTCCCCGTCCGAAGGCATGAACAGGGTCCATCGTATCAGAAGTAGTTGCTGCTTTGGGTTGAGCAGTCTTCGCGTTGGTCGCAACGTGGGGATGCCGGGGCATATCGGGACTGGAGAGCGTGCTTCCTCGAGTCGTTGTGATATCCGTCTTGGATCATTCTCGCGCAACCAAACAGCGCAGGCCATAGGGATGCATTATTGGATACAAACGAAATTGGACTGTCTGTACAGGTCTGACTCTTCCACCGCTTTGCGTTCGACTTTGGTCTTCTTATCTGGACAGCATCTAGGTCTGGTTGAGTAGGTAAGATTCCGATGCATCTTTGGTAGTCCGAGTCGGGAACATGATTGTCTTGATATGATGAAGTTCCCTGGCACACAACGAATCCGCTCGTTGCGTTTCACTGGTCTGGGGATCGCTGGTAATGATTTCGGATGCATCCCAGAAGCGGGGATCCCTGCGAACCGACTCCAACATTGACGGCCAGTCGTGATCATCCAGTCGTGGGAAAGGCTGATGGTCTTCACAGCATGCTAGCTCTGTGGCGTTCTGATGGCCAGGTCGTCGGCCAGCATGATGGCACCGATACGTGTCGGTCGAGTCAGCATCAAAGCGGCTGGGCGAGGTTGGTCAAGTGTGCTTTGATGTTGGCGGTAGATCAACATTGAGGGAAGGATGAACGAAGGAGCCAGCTGCATTTCAGGTACGTACCGATGTGGCCAAGGAACATTGGAAGGAGCAAATGGCGGCAGGGGCGAGGGGCAGGGCGAGGGGCAGGGCGAGGGGCAGGGGCAAATGGCAGCGCAAGCGGCATGGACAAGCGGCAAGGGCAAACGGCAAGGCGGCGGGTGGCTTGATCCTGCCTGCCTCCAACCGAGTCGGCAAAGCCGAAGGAGAAAAAAACAAGAACAAGCATCACCAATTCGTCTCTGCATTGCATCTCCCTGTCTCTCGCTTCTAACTATGCCCATCAACTCATCAACGCCCATCGACTTGTCATCTCCCGCTGTCAAAGCCCTCGGCCCAAAGGCTCGGAAACGCAACATGGCTCCGCTTTCTCCAGACATCGACCCATCCTGCGCTGCAACTTGACCACCCGCCTGCCTCCCAGGCAAGCCAGGGACGCATCCTTGGCATCCAGCAGAAACAAAAAAGACGAGACCCGCTCTTTGAGTAATACTGCTGTGTCTGCAGATCCCGCATATCATCGACAATTCGTTGTTTCTGACTCGCCGGTCCTCGGAGACGTCGACATGCCACCTCTCAGCGCCGCTCTGCGCTTGACCCGCCGGCACATGGCTGCCATGGGACCAGACCCTGTTTGTGCTTCCCCGCGAGTCACGACCATGGAAAATCATTCCTCAGCCAGTTACGAAGCATCCCCGGATTCGTTACTCCATCCTTATCTCGCGCCTCCGTAGCCTCTCATTGGCCTGGCATTTCAACGACTCTGCCGTCTGAGTCTTGCTTCTGCCCTGCGAGTCTTCTGTCCTAGGGGGTGACCCCTCGAACCCAAGGAACACGTCCAGAAACGCGACCAAAGTCAATTCCCTTCCAGAGAAAAGCCACGCCCGCCGCCCCCGACGGCTTTCCCCAGCGCCCGGCGGCGCACGCTGCCGATGAAGCTATGGCCTGCCTTGCTGTCACCAGTCTGACTGGCTTCCGCGGCCGCTGGCTACCCTCATTGGCGGCGCTGAAGCTGCCATCTACCGCAGGAACCCCCCCTCTCTAGCCTTATCTCTCTCTCTTTCTCTCTCTCGCGCACCCAGGCCCGACATGGCAGATATCGATCCCGTCCCCAGTCTCCGAGCTGATACGACCCACTTGTCTTATTCCGGCTCTGCGGCCAAGAAGCGAGGCCGGTGGTGGAGGGGGAGGGGGGCCTAGACGATGCAGAGAGCCGGATATATTTCCATGAGGGAGAAGAAGACGACTTAAAAGCTTGCCAGAGGCCCCGTTGAATCAAAAGACGTTCGTAGTTACTCGTGCTCAGGCTAGTGCTCTCAACGACGACTTCTCACAATCTACGCCCCCCGTCTTGGATCGGGCTTTTTTCTCGGTCAGCCGCTCAGCAACTCACCCACCCACTCAGTCGTCGCATATCGCCCACCTTCCACCATGGTTGACTGGAAGGCATGGTGGTCGCCCGCCCCCTCGCTCGACATTCCGGGCCTCGAGACGGTCGACCTCGCCGACAAGGCCATGGAGCGCCGCATCGTCCGCAAGCAGGATCTTCACATCCTGCCCTGGGTCTGCGTCTCCTACCTTCTGAGTATGTTGCCTGTGTCTCCAGAACGGCCCTTTTGCTCCTCCACTAACATCTCAGACTACCTTGACCGAGTGAACCTCGGAAACGCTCGCACATTGAACAATGACACGCCCGAAGACAACATTGTTACGCAGCTCAACCTCACCGGCCAGCGCTACAATGTCGCTGTCGCCCTCTTCTTCGTGCCTTACGTCCTCATGGAGTTCCCCTCCAACATCCTCCTCAAGTACTTTTCGCCCTCGCGCTGGATCTCCCGCATCATGGTCTCGTGGGGCATCATCACCATCTGCACCGCTGCCGTCTCCACCTACGGCGGCCTCATCACCGTCCGCATCTTCCTGGGTCTCGCCGAGGCTGGTTTCTTCCCCGGTATCATGATGTACCTCTGCTTCTGGTACAAGCCCGACGAGCGCGCCACGCGCATGGCCATTTTCGCGTCCTCCGTCGCCGTCGCCGGTGCCTTTGGCGGCCTCCTCGCCACGGCCATCTCCTTCCTCAACAACAAGGGCGGTCTCAACGGCTGGCAGTGGCTCTTCATCCTCGAGGGCATCCCCTCGGTCATTGTCGGCGTCCTCATCTGGTTCTACCTCCCCGACTACCCCCAGACCGCCGCCTGGCTCACCCCCGAGGAGCGCGCCTTCGCCGTCAAGCGCCTCGGCCCCTACGCCCCATCCATGACCGACAAGCACTGGGACAGCACTGTCGCCAAGGAGACCCTCTCGAACCCCATGTTCTGGCTCTTTGCCTGCCAGTACTTCCTCATGGCCAACTCTCTCAACGCCTTTGGCTACTTCGCGCCCACCATTGTTGCCTCGCTCGGCTTCTCGGGCCACAACGCCCAGCTGCTCACCGTCCCGCCCAACGTCGTCGCCATGATTGTCATCATCAGCAACTGTCTGCACTCGGATCGGACAAAGGAGCGCTCGCGCCACGTCATTGGCGCTCTCGTCTTCGTCGGCACCGGCTACCTCTTGCTCGCTGTCGTCCGTCACTGGGGTGTGCGCTACTTTGCCGTCTGTATCATTGCTTGCACCAACGCCGCTGTCCTGCCTTTTGTCGCTGTAAGTTTTTGCCCCTGTCGTGCTCGCTTCGCTTCGACATGCTGTCCTCGGTCGATCCACTAACAAGACTCAGCACCGCACGGCCACTGTCTCCGGCTCCACAGCCACGGCCCTCGCCACGGGCGGCATGATCGCCATCTCCAACTGTGGCGGCATCTCGGCCCCCTTCCTGTTCCCCAAGGTCGACGGCCCCATGTACTCCATGGGCAACTGGACCATCTTCGCCTTCCTCATTGTCGCCGCCTGCATGACCTGCTTCACCTGGTACATGTACGGTAGCCACGCCGGTTACCGCACAGGTGCGCGTGATGAGAATGGCAACCTCGAGGTTCTCGACGCCACCTCGGGCGACCCTGATGAGGTCATGAACAAGGCCATGGGTCTCGAGAAGAAGAAGGACCTGCAGCAGGATGTGTAACTTGAACGACGGCATGACTTGTTTTTAGCGTAGCGATCAAAAGTCTTTAGCGGAGGGGCTTCGTGCCTCGGAATGTATCATGATTGACAGTGCTGCCTTGGTCTGCTTGCTATTATGTGCTGTAAAGGTATCGCCTGAAGTGCGTATCGTGGCACTACGTCAGGTTACAAATGCCTTGCTATTGGAACAAGGGGCGTACAAGCCCTTCAGTGCGCCGCAGATGTTGGTATCGGGGGCCCATGGCTTGGAGATTTGGTTGATTGTCCGATGTCTGCATGCTTGGCCGATCTAGGTGCCGTCGAGGCTTGGGAGGTTGGCATTGCCGTACGTCTTCCCCCCGCGCGTCGCCATGATGCAGGCTTATCATCTGGCTCCGCATCGATCAGGACCTAATAGCGTGTTTTGCACGAACCGTAGCGTCTAGGCATTGCCTTCTACGACAAGACGGGCTGTGTTGGCGAGGCCATGTCGACGGACTGCCAGGACTCGAGACTTCTATACAGTGGGCCGGAACCCACTCTATTTGACGTGTTTGGGGGTCCAGGCAGCATCTACCTCGGACATCTTGTCCGGATCTCATGCTGGGATGGCAAGTCATTGGCTTTACGTACGTACGACTCAGACGACGTGCCAGTCGCGAAGCGAAGGTTTGGGCGTTGCTGACAATTGACCTATGATATGCGAAAGGTCCTCATAGACATGGACAGGTCCCGTGGCCAACAGATCGAGACAGTGGCTCGTTGGATGATGGCCCGTTCATATCCAGGGAACGATGGCGATAGAAAGTCTGCAGCGGCGAGGTTCAACCTTTCGAAGTGACGACCAATCGAGCAAGACGTCGTATACTACCACTTACGGGGAAGACGAAATGACAAGGGTCGGATCTAGTCGAGTGCCATACAAGGTCTTGCCAGGTACGACACTTGCCGGCTTTTATAAGCCCATGTTTTTCCCAGACGCTATCGGTTCAAATGTCTTGGGTGCAGGCAGTCCAATTTGTTTGATAAACCCCCCAGGAAATGCCGAATTGCGTGTCAACGGATTGACTGCGCAAGGTTTACTCATCAGAAACGCTGTCAGCGAGGCACTTTGCGATATGGGTTGGTGTGTACTACGCGGAGAGCGAGAGGCAGAAAATTGGATGATAATCTTGAGCTTCAGTGTAAGTCATGGTCAGCAAAGAAACATTCTGTTCAACTCCATCCCCGTAACTTGTCGATATTTACATTTGACAGCTGTTTCAAAAAATCAGGAGGTCGTTGTTTCGTGTCATGACCCCTACTTCGTCTGAGGTCCGAGACGCGACATCCCGCCAAGTGGAGCCGATGCGACATCAACCAGGAGGTCTGATATGCGAGCTCCCCCAGCTCTCGCTGAAGCTGCGAAGCTCTGTCTTACCTCAACCAGACAAGACTTCCCGCAGACCCAAGTTTCCGGTCCGACCAAGTACAGACGAACCACAGATCCTGCAACCGGAGCCGACCATGGACTCTCAACCGCTGACCTACCAGGACCTCTCGCCCAGAGACGAGCACGACGAGTCATCGTCCGCGACTGAAGTCGAGTCGGTGTTGCTGAATGAGAAGGACCGCGAATGGCCTGATGTGCTCCTAGACCCGCCTGCCAGCCCACGATCAGCATCATCTCTGTCGGCACGGTGGCGGAGACACCGCTGGATCATCAATACCGGGTTGATCTTGTTTAATGTCGTCTTGTCCATGGTGTTACTGTGGAAAGTCGCAGGGGCACCCTCAGCATCATTACGACAGGTCGGCGGGGACCTCATTGCTGACCGTCCACCAAATTGTTCGCTGCTTCATATCCTCATTACTGCTTCGCATGACTGACACTAACCTGAACAGTCGCAACGAAGGTGATCAAGTGGGAGTCCGATCCCTCATTTGTTCCCAATAACACCGCAGAGTTCTTTGAACAGCAAACGGTCGACAAGTGGCAGTCCCTCCTGCCAGGTACGTGGAGATTCATCAAGTATTCGCTGCCCGGCGAGATTGCCTCATGATCAAACAGGGAACGCACATCGCGGCGATGGCGAGACATTCTCGACAACGTCCATGACGCATCAGCTCCACTGTCTGGTCAGTTCATGGCGTCACGCACTAGCCGACACGCAACACTGACACATCGTGTAGTTTATGATGGGTCGCGTCTACGCCGGCGTGACGGAAAGCAGGACCGCGGAGCTGCCGGCAGACTATCATGCTCACTTTCTACACTGCATAGACTACATACGACAGGGCATCATGTGTTCCGGGGATGTCGCTTTGGAGCCGCACACCCCAGAAGACGCCGATGATTTGGGGGCAAAGGACGGGGGGTGGAATGGACTTCATGGTGAGTGACCCGCGTGCCGAAGATGAATCTGACTGCTGACGATTTCAAGTCTGCAAGGACTATGGACAGGTTTTGGAGTACCTGGATGGTAAGCACTGCACGGCTCGCTGGACTCAACGACACTAACATGGCACAGAGCAAATACAAGAAGGTGGACGAACGGTGCTGCCCATTGATGATTGACAACATAGATAGAGGTAGCAAGCTCATGGACAGAATCAAGAGCAAAGTCCAATTCTGACCATCGTTTCTGTAGCTATATACACGGAACCCCAGTCTTACCGGTTTGTGATCTGCAGCACGCCAGTTCATGTTGTCCAAGCCTCCTCGACTTCCACAGGAACATCCACATGTCCGATGAATCCCTTTCCCCTAGGTCCATAACCGTTCTCATCATCCCTCAACCTCGGGATTTCTCCCACCAGTAGATCCAGAAATCGTCGCATGTCCCACAATCCCGCCTTCCGCACACCCGTCGGACCAGCCTCATCAAACTCAAAATGCGCAGCACCATCATCAACACTGTTGGACGGCTCGAGTGATGCATGGCTGAGCGTGACAACCGGCACAAAAGTCGGCCATGCGACAACAACAGGCCCCTCCTTCCCGATCCCCTCGTACGCCTTTTCAAAACATGCCGCAGTACGCCTGCTCATCGTAGCATCCTGTACCACGACAATGGACCGCGGAGACGTGAATCCCCTTGCACCAAGAAGTGCTTTGGTCTCGAGCTCATTTGCGCCGCAGTTGGTTGACTTGTCCTCGACTATGATCGTCGGTGCAAAGGCCTCCTGCGGCACGGCCAAGTCACCATCGTCAGGCGTCTTCACCAACAGTCCGGACCAGCGCTCGGCAATCATCTGTAGGACACGCGCTTCGGGTGGCCGGCTGTCAAGTTCGTCGGCCAAACGCGATAGCGAGGATGTCGGCGTACAGCAGCGTACATGAGAGACGTCGAGTGGCCAATGCCGCCGCATATGACAAGGATGAGATTTCTGTTGTCCGGGATTTCTAGGTTCGCGTCCGTAGACTCTCCGTCTGCGACCCTCGCTTGCTCGACCTACCGTTGCTTCAGGACCGGATCGGCTCCCGAAAGGGCCGAGAAGACATCTTCGCCTAGGGACAGGATGGCTGAGCCGCACAGGACGATGACGTCGAAACGGTGGTTGGTCTGCGCAGACGTAATGGGGCTTGGGGGAGGGAGTCGAAGAAACGATTGACAGCGGCTGCGTCGCGAAGCTGCTCGAGAGGGAGGAACGAGGAGAGAGTATTGATGGCGCGGAGGGTCGGCAGACTCATTTCGAAGTCTATAGAGATACTCCAGTACACGTCTGAGCACCGAGAGTTCAATACACCAGTATGGGTGATAGGGGTTGACAGTAGAGATCCGTTGATGGGTCTGGATCGAGAACCAGCTCCGGTCTATCGCCGATTAAAGTGTTCAGTGCCAATTCAGCGCCTGTAAATCTGAAAGTCGGCTCGGGCCGAACATGTGCTGCGACTCTAATAATTACCCCTCACCCACACCTTCAAATCATCCTCATGAGCGACGCTGCCGATTCCGCCTCGCACCAGCGGCTCGACGCTTGGGTCGACGCTCACTTTGATGAAGAAATCAGCTTCCTCCAGAGCCTGGTCCGTCTGCCCACGGACACACCCAAAGGCAACAATGCGCCCCACGCAGAGCTGACGGCCGACCTGCTGCACACCTTCGGCCTCGAAGCCGAGCGGCATCCCGTGCCGGAAGCAGAGGTCCGCGCCTACGGCATGGAGTCCATCACCAATCTCATCGTGCGCCGCCGCTACGGCCCTGGCGGCCGAACGATCGCCCTCAACGCTCACGGCGATGTCGTGCCTCCCGGCGAGGGCTGGACCCGCGACCCGTACGCTGCGGTCGTGGAAGACGGAGTCATGTACGGCCGTGCCACCGCCGTCAGCAAAAGCGACTTTGCGAGCTTCACGTTTGCGGTGCGCGCCGTCGAATCGCTGGGCGCCGCGCTGAAGGGCGCCATCGAGCTGCATTTCACCTACGACGAGGAGTTTGGCGGCGAGCTGGGTCCGGGCTGGCTGATGCGCCAGGGCCTGACCAAGCCCGACCTGCTCATCGCCGCGGGCTTCTCGTACCAAGTCGTCACCGCCCACAACGGCTGTCTGCAGATGGAGGTCACGGTCCACGGCAAGCAGGCCCATGCCGCCATCCCGGACACGGGCGTCGACGCGCTGCAGGGGGCCGTGGCGATCCTCAACGCGCTCTACGCGCTGAATGCGCAGTACCGCGAGATACGATCAGAGGTCCAAGGCATCACGCACCCATATCTCAACGTGGGGCGTATCGAGGGCGGTACAAACACAAACGTCATACCCGGCAAGGTGACCTTCAAGCTCGATCGGCGCATGATTCCCGAGGAAAATCCCATCGAGGTCGAGGCTGAGATTCGTCGGACAATTGAGGGAGCGGCAGCCAGTGTGCCCGGCGTATCCGTAGATCTGCGCCGACTCCTCCTCGCCAAATCAATGCGCCCGCTGCCAGGGACCAGGCCGTTGGTAGAAGCTATCCAGACGCACACTGAGCGTGTCTTTGGCGAGGCCGCTCCGGCGATTGGGACGCCGCTTTACACCGACGTGCGACTCTATGCGGAGGCGGGTATTCCTGGTGTTATCTACGGCGCCGGCCCGCGGACGGTGCTCGAATCGCATGCCAAGCGAGCGGACGAGCGGTTGCAGCTTGAGGATCTGAGGCGTGCAACCAAGGTCATCGCGCGAAGTCTGCTTGATCTGTTGGTTTAGTTGCATGCATAGAAGGCTAGGATAAGATTTGTACGCGTTGAGTTGCTCGCACTTGCTGAGTAGAGGGCAAAGATCTGCCTTTTCACTCTTCGCAATCATTCACAAGTCACGTTCTGAAGACTTGAGCAAGAAGCCCATGAGGTCGATTCTTCCGCCATAATCACGCGGCCGGTGAAATCTCTCGCGTCGCCAGGGTATGCATGATCAGGCTTGTGGTGCAGTCTACAGCGACTGTCATCTTGCTCCATCATGATGTCAGCTCACGCATCCTTGGCTCCGTCTGGAATCCTGGAATCCTTCCACCAAGACGCGGCATTCTCTCAATGGCCGGCCTAACGGTTGCCTAATCAATTATGCAGGACGAATACGCTAGCTTCAACGCCATCAAGTACATATATAACCATCGTGACCCTCTCCCCACTCGTGACTTCATCGGAAAGGAGCAGTTCCCTCGCCGTGCGGCTTCACAACACCAAGTGACCAACACGCAATGCCGGTGACAACGCGCGCACAGGAAGCAAAAGCTCGCACCAAGACTTGTCATATACTTCAGCTCAGCACCGAGATCCAACTCCTCATCCTCCATCATCTCCTGCCCTCGATCGAGTCAATCCACGCCGTCGCCAAGACGTGCAAAAAGCTCTACGATGTCGCGCTCAACCTCACAGTGCACACGTTTCGTTATCTCGGCGGAGAAAGCCGCCTCGAAGATGATCTGGACCGCTTCACCGCCAGGACCATGCAGTTCGTCCGCTACGTGACCATCACCAAGCCGCACCTCGCCCAACACGTCAAGTGCGTGGTTCTCGGCCAGCTCAATTCCGAAGGCTGGGGCCGGCTGAGCAAGTCTAGGGCGCCGAAGGGCAAGGAATTGGCTCTCTACATAGGCCTGATTGAGCGCACGTTGACCGAGGCGGACGGCGAAGACTGGAAGCTCTGGCGGTTCCAGTGGCTGGCGGGGCTGGCGAAGCTGTCTGAAGACGCCGAAGTCGCCTTGCTGCTTGTCGCGTGCCCCAATATCGAGGTCCTCTTGATGGAAGAATCGTTCAAACCGGAGGTACTCAAGCGCGTCATCCACGTGGCAGGGCAAAGGAGCGCAAAGGGCTCAACAAGCTCGGGCAGCTCAGCCGAGGTGGACGCTCCGCTACGCCACCTGAAGGAGCTGTATATGGAATCGGGCGAGCTCAAGTATGGGCACCTGTCGTTTTCCGAATTCGCCAAGGCCTTTCAAATTCCAAGCCTGCGGTCCTTCGAGGTTGTGCGAGGCAACGGCGAAGACTACCGCGCCGGCGATTTTGAAGACTTGCCCAAGCGGTCCTCGAACGTAGAGGAGATCATCCTGCGGTCGTCCTGCATCACGCCAAAGGTACTCAAAGCCATGACCGCCGTGCCGAGGGCCCTGGTGTCATTCGAGTATACGATGGGGTTGTACCACATGTACGACGAGGAGATGAAGCCGCGAGACCTCGTCGAGGCCATGGTCCGCCATGCCGCCTCGCTGGAGTACCTGCACATCAACACGCAAGATGACTGGCCTACCGGGGGAAATCCAGAGACTTTTGTCATGGGCCTTGGTCTGAGGAGGTTGACGGCATTGAAGCAGCTGGCCGCCGGCATGCAGGCCTTGACGGGAACGCGCAACCCCTACCCTCCAGAGAACGAGAACATGAACTACGACAACCTGCCCGAAGTCGTCGAAGATTCGCCGAGGATGGTCGACTGTCTGCCGGAGAATCTCGAGTTCCTGCAGATTCACGCCTGTGGGAAACCTGTCCTGCCCCACGCCCAGGAGCTCTTTGACGCGCGCGCCGCTGGCCGGTTTCCTCGACTTCGACATGTGCGACTCTTGTTCAACAAGGAGCTCATCTCATCCGACGACATTGATCTGCACTATGATGAAGGCCTTCTTCGACTGGAGGTCTATCTTCAGTCGGACGAAAACAGATTCTACGACCTCATCCAGATCGTGGGTCGAAGATGCTTAATAGCCTGCACACGCATTTATTCTTACGACATTCGGGACAGATGGCTCAAGTACAGATACCAGGACGTTGCGCGCGCAACGGTCAATGAAGGGGTTCTGTACGAGCCAGGCCCGGGGGGGATGACGGAGGAGAAGTCTAGGCTGCCGTGAGGTGGCGTGCGTATCCATGTTAAGATTGGACGTCACACTATAGGTTGTAACCCATTTCATGTTGAGGCTCTCGTGATGTGGCGTGTAAGCCACGCCCTCGTGCTCGAAGGTGCCACGGCCAGGGATGGGTCGTGATCATGCAGCACGTCCACTTGCTGACCGATGCGGCTGAGGGTCATGTTGGTTCAAGGGAGGGGTGGCGTTGGAAAATCGGCTAGAAGACATGTCTATGCGTATCAACCGCGTATAATTACCAGAATTGTATAGCGTTCGAATCTTCCTGAAATAGGTCGACGAAATCAAGTCCATTCCACTCGCGGCTGCAAAGCTCGGTACACGTGGTAGTAAAGGCACGAGGATGCTTCCCTCACCGAGAAGCCACGGCGAAAAACCCAGAGCCCATCAAAATGGTTCGACTAGCGGGCCAAGGATCCCATACCTCATGCGAGGGACACAATTGACCTGGATACACCGAGGTACCACCTCGTGGCGACCTCCGGCGCACGCAGCAAAAGCAAAGCCAAAAGCCTAGCCACGTTTGTACGGACAGGCAAACTGCGCAAGCCGCGAAAGGGTCCAGTGCGCGAGGTTGGTCAACAGAAAACAAACCCTGGAGACTGGGCAGTGCGCGACCAGCAACGCCTCTCGTAAGTTAATCGACGAAACGTCAAGCAAGGGGTGCAAAGACAAGGATCAGGGCGCCCGACGTCAGCAACGTGGCGGAAAGCCCGAAAGAGCAGACGCTCGGTGCCATTAGGTGAGCGCTCACGGCATCACCACCTCTTGAGCCAAGAGGTTTCACGAGCCCATGAAACAGCTTGACGGAAAGTTTCTCTTCAGCTCAATTGACCAAGTGGTTTTCGGAGAAACAAAAAAAAGCTCGTCATGTATGCCAACGAACCGACTCTGACTCTGGCTCTCGCTGTCTCGCTCGACGAAAGTAATCACGACAACGCCGTCGCCACAAAATCTGTCAGATCCTACACAATCCCACCGACTCAGCGCCATCGCGACGGGCTGACAGCACACGCAGGCGGGCCCCTCTCGAGACGTGTCGTCCCCTTGCTTCTGTGGCGGATGGAGCTTGTCGAGTCTCGTACTGCGTGACACCCCGTCTTGGAAACGCCGGCGAAGATCGAAACGCAGTCCACCTACGCCATCTGAGCGTGCTGCGCGAAACAAACGGCTGCCATGTTGATCCTATGCACGCACTTGTGGACAATGGAGAAGAAGAAAATAATCGACGTGTGTTTGGTAGCTGAGCCGCAGGGCGTGCCGGGAAAAGTCGGCACGTCCGTTGCCCACAGCACAGACTCTTGCAACTCGCACAACATAACGCACAGGATGGCTGGTTTTCTCCCGGTCACACGATGCACACAGGTAATTGAGGTAAGAGGAAAGATGAGATGAGCCCTGGATCCTAAACCCCGCGAGACTTGACTGAATCATAATCACAGTCATCCCAACCACGACGCGACTCACGAACGCCCTCAAACCCAACGGGCCGAAAGATAAGCGGGCCGCCCAGTGGAGTTTGGGGGAGATGGTATGGAAATGCTGGGCAAGCGGCTCAACACTAGGGAGCATCCACCGCGCGGCTCCCTATCCTTGACCTCAAGCTCCCGTTAGCGTCGTGTCCGGCGAGGACAAGTGCCGGAATTGCTTCTTCGGTCCGGGACTGAATGATCCGCGGTTGGGGGGTGTTGTAGGGCGAGGTGGTCCGGGGGAAAAGAAAGGGTAGAGAGAGAGGCTCGAGACAATTGCACCGGGTGATTTTGATGGACGGCACCCATCTGCGGCGTTCTGTGGCGTGCTCGATATGGAGTGGTGGCACTGGACAACGGAGGAGGACGAGGAATCTTATGCAGACGAAGGGGGACAATGTTTGTGACGACAAACACCAACAGTGGGCTTGTCTCATGTTGCTCGATGTTGTTGGACCAACTCTGGTGACGACTGGGTGAGACTCCCAAGTGCCGTTGAAGATCATTGCCCATTCCGCTTTGTTTTCCTCGTGTGTTTGACTCAATTGAACTGTCAAGACTACAGCTATCGCCATCAGCCGTGGGAGCTATGGGCGAGGGCCAAGATGATGTGTGATGGCACCAATCTCCCATCTTTCTCATGATGACTTTTCCCGCCGCCCAGTTGTACATGGTAGCAGCAGCGCCAGAGCGCAGCAACGGCAAGGGTGCCGGGTCGGCTATCGATTCTGGTAGGGTTTACATGATCTTGGGTTCAGCTCGATCCGATAGATGGGGGATGGGGTCCTGTCGATCTGTCGACCGGTCAGCTCTTTTCGACCGCTCAGCTCTTTGACCAGTCATCTGACGCCGGACCTGGATGCCCGGCCTCTCTGTACACCCTGACTAGTGAACGTTCGCCGCATGCTCTCGACGAAAAGCCTCGACAAGCCCCGGTGCAGCCCTGCCTTGATTGCCTAGGCCGCACTGTTGGGGGTAGGAACAATAAGAGATTTGAGAAGAAGAAACGCCGCAACCGCACCCGCCAAGACGCCGGCGCCATGTCTTCGGCCCTTGCGTCAGTGTGACAGGCCTGGTTGGAGGTCATCAAAAAGCCTACAGTCAGCCTTGGTTTCCTTGGGATCGGCACCACAAGGTTTGCAGAGCTAGTGGGTGTGATAAAATGGCCGTGCAAGACATGCGGGGGGTGAGCTTCGTCGAGGGAGCGTTAATCGCGTGGAGAAGTACTCCGCCGTCCGCGAGGGGCTGGCATGTTGATGTGTCGTGGTGAATATAAGCTTCTGGTCGTCGGCGCTTTTGTCATCGAGGTGGCAGCACGCAGTGGCTCTCATCGTCACGCGCCTGACAAACACATTCCTTCCAACGATCTCTGCTGTCGCTTGATTGTAATACCAGCCGCCACCCTTCGTTCACCTGTTGGCCAACTCTTTTATCAGATTAGCACGAGTCCCTCCGTCTGTGCAGTGACGACAACAACCCCCGTCCCTTCTCAATTATGGCGCCCAAACACATGGTCTTCGATGGGGTCGCCATATTCTGGACCGCCTTTGCGTCCTTGTGGACCGCGCTGTTGGTCGGCGGCATGGCCTTCCTGTGGACGAGGCGAGACATGCCCATCCTCCGCATCCGAGGCCTGCCCCTCTCCTTTGGCGCCGTCGTGTGTCTTCACCTGTACTGGATTGCCTGCCAGCTGGGCACCAGCTACGGACATCTCATGCCCAACGGCGTCGAGTTCTGGATCATGGGTATCTATCTCCCATTCGGCATTGCCCTGTTCCACGCCTCCAACAGCCGTTTCCTCCACGTCGCGAAGGCGCAGATGAAATATGCCCAGACCCAGCGTGTCAAGAAGCAGCCAGAAGAAAAGTCACGATGGCCACTGGTCGCCAAGTTTCGGTCCTCCGACTACACCACCAAGATGATGACTGTTGTCTGCGCTGGCATGACGTTCCAGGTACGTGATCTCGCCTGCCAGGGTCGTGTACCCTTCATTCGCTGATGGTAGCAGTTTTTCTTGACGCTTGTCATGTATCTCGTCTCATACAAATTCCACCCTTCCTTTGGTGTGGCCGGCACCGAGGTCACTGGCACCCCTGACCAGATCACGCGGGAGCGCAGTCGGGGTTGGGAGTGGTGGCCATCTGTCTTTTGGCAGATCTTCTGGGCCTGGATTGTTGCACCCTACATCCTTTGGCAGTCACGCGGCATCCGTGACACCCAGGGCTGGCGATTCCAGACCGTCGCGTGCTGCCTGGCCAGTCTGCACGCCGCGCCCATGTGGATCGTCGCGCTGAACGTAGACGCCATGGCGGTTGTGAACAAGTACTTCATCCCGCCGCAGTGGTGAGTTGTTTCCCGGCGCGTCTGACAGTCGATAGTTGCTGACCCGCACTTGCAGGATCGCCGTGTCCATTATGCTGCTTGAGATCTTCACAATCTTCCTACCTTGCTGGCAGGTGCTGCGCCACCAGTCGCTCCGACAGGAGACGCTGGAACTCATTGCGCTCTGGGAGTCTGGTAAGAAGAACACGACGGGCGCTGGCAAGTCGTTCGTGTCGGGCTCTACCAAGGCCAGCGGCAAGGGCAGTTTCGTCTCGTGGAGGCAGATGTCCGAGGTGGAGAAGGGCGGCTCCTTCGATGCCGCCGCTATTGCCGGCGGCCTGTTGACGATGGACGCGCTCGAATATGCCCTCAAGAAGAATCCGGCACCCCTGCAGCACTTTTCCGCGCTCAAGGATTTCTCGGGCGAGAACATTGCCTTCCTCACGAGCGTGTCCAGCTGGAAGACGTCTCTGCGTTCTGAAAACGTTCCGGCGACCACATTGAACGGCCGCCAGAGTCTGTCGATCGAGCCTTGCGCGACGAACCAGCAGGACCGTCTCCGCGAGCAGTTCAACCAGGCGCTGCGCATTTACACCGAGTTCATCAGCCAGCGGGACGCCGAGTTCAGCATCAACATTTCGTCTGGCGATCTGCGCCGGATCGAATCCGTCTTCGAGCAAGCCGCACGGTCAGTGCATGGCGAAAAGTCGCCGAAGCCGACGGCAACACCATTCGACGACTGGGCCGCACCCAAGGGAGCCGAGTCCGTGTCCATGTCGAGCGAGAAGGGCATCATCGGAGCAGCGACCAGAGACGCTGACGACACGTCGGACACGGGGTCGACGATTGGCGAGGGAGCGTACTACTGGGGGGACATCCCCGACGGCTTCGATGAGACGGTGTTTGACGATGCCGAGACGAGCATCAAGTACCTCGTGCTGACGAATACGTGGCCCAAGTTTGTCAAGGACAGGCGTACGTCGTTTGACTCTGCAGAGAGCAACGAGTCGTACGATACGCTGATTGATATGGTGGTGCGGCGTACCCAGGCGTTCGCAAAGGAGTAAACCGTGGCCGGTCTAGGGGTCCTGGTCAGATGGGTGGAGGAGCTGTGCCTGATGTCGAGTTTTCCTGGCTGCGTATACTTTTTCTTGTCAATACTTTTCGTGTGTACAGATAGTCATGATACCTAATGTAAATGCCGAACAGCCGTTGCTGAAGCCCGCGAGTGCTTCTAGTGAAGCCAAGACGGCGGGGCAGTGGTAGTTGTTGTTTCTAGTCAGGCTGGTGGCAGGCATGTCTTTTGGACGTCAAGTAATTACCATGTACGGCAGCCACGAGAAGAAGCGGACCTCGGTCAACTGACCGCTCGCTTTCGCTTTCGGTGGGCTCGGTCAGAAGCAAAGTGCCCAAAAGAACAGCAGCCACAGAGGGCAGTTACAGCACAGCAGCGGGGCAAGTGCGAGCGCAGCGATGAAACACGCCCCTGGTATAGCGCTTGCGCGTGCAGAGGGATGCCCCCTGAGTGGCAAGAGTGGCTCCCAGGGCGCTCCCCAGGGATACCTTGCGACCCCCAATGAGAGGGCTTTGTCCGTCCCAAAGGCCCCAAACATCGACCCATCCTCGAACATCGCTCGTTACATCGCCAGACGATCCGACCAGACCGACGCAATCGCCCTCCAGGCCTCGAACCTCCAAGACACGCCTTACCTGTTGTGTCCATCTGCCGCGATGCAGTTTCCACCCTATTCTCTCCACTTGCCGCACTGGATGTCTCTGCGAGCCTGCGAGTGAGCAAGTGTCATGTCCCACCGCCCTCCTCGACCTCTTCTGCGTTGTTCGTGCTGGCCCTCACGACGTACACGACCCTTGCGCATCGCTCGATTCTGCTTCATCTTTTGTTCCGCCAGGCCTGCCACGGGTCCTAAAGTCACGCCATTTGCTGTGTCAACCGTCCATCGATCCACCTACCACCTCTCGGCTGTTGGCTTGATGCTTCATCACACAATTCTCCTGACATAGAGTTGTGCTTCGCCCAGCAACACCCAGCAACGCCCCGCCCCCTGCTGTCGTATTGTCGGCCAGACCCGGTGGCCATCGTTGTTTAATCTCCTCACACCCACGTTTTTCCCCATCTTCCTACCGATTGCCTATTCCTGCTTTCGCTTCACGGCCTGGATCCGCTGGACACCGAACCAACAGCGCCGTCCCTTTCCCACCTGCGGGCTGGACCCTCTTGTTCGCTTCTTCCCTCGACTCGACTCAGGCAGCCCGACGATCGCTTTCTTTCCATGACCATCGACCAAACGAACACTAGTCGACGACCGACGAGACGAACGACCAACAACGACGACCGCTGAGCGTCAGACACTCGCTCGTTCGAGAGAGTGCGTCGCCACACCGGTGCGATTCGGCACAACGCTCTTTTGACCGATCTCTTCACTTCTTCGCCGCCGGCCGGATCGTCTTTTAATCAGTTTGCCACACAACCCATATACCTGCGATCACGAAGACAAGAGTACCTAGCACGGAAACAGCAAGCGTATTGATTTCATACTGCGCATCAACCATACCTCGCAATGTTTTGGAATAAGGCTCTGGCCAGCGCCGCCGTCATCTCGGGCGCCTGTGCCGAAATTCGCCCTCTCGCCATGGATCCCGTGATTCAAGTCCGCGCCTCGGACGTCCTCGAACTGCACTACAGCGACGTCGCCGATCGCTATCTCTCGAAGCGACAGGAGGTCAACCCCGACAGCCAGGTGGCGTTGAACCCCGACGGTACCATGGACATGGAAGCGTGGGAAGAGGAGACGACGTCGGCGTGCCGCGATGCTCTGGCCCACCTGAATGTCGCCTCGAATCCGTCTGGCACGGGCATCTGCTACAACCTGCCCGCCCTCGATCCCACGTCTGGTGTCTTTGAAGCCGACTTGCGCCTGTTCAAGGTGTCGGAGCCGTCGGGCCAATTTCAGGGTATCCCGCCCGAGAGCATCGAGGTCGGCCTCTCGTTTGCCGGCGCCTCCGTGTCGCCAGTCGAGGCCAGTCGAATCTCGGGCGCCGTGGGCCAGCAACGAAAGGCGAAACGAGCAGACGTCATGGACCTGCTGCAGTCGTACATGTTTGTTGGACAGATCAACCCCTCGAACATGCAGGAGAAGATGACAATGTACGTTCTGGCCACGCGTGGGGGGTGGGGGTTTTGAGAGAGCATCATGCTGTGGAACGTAACTGACTCTTGACGTGTGATAGGGCTGAACTCGAGGCGCTCGTCCTCCCCGTCCTCACCCTGACGGCGACGAACACGACGGGCCAGCGCATCAGCACCAACGTCTCCTCCAACGAGGCGGCCTTCCTGACGGGCGTCTTCTCCCGCGAAGTGGTCATGTCCGAGTTCGCGACGGCCAAGGAGGCCGTCAGCAACATTACGGCCGAGCTGCGGAACGGCACCGTGGCGTTTGTGCTGCCTGGCGTGCAGATTATGATCTTTCCCATTGGCCTGATTATCACAGGCATCTGGACGCTCGTGGGGTTCCTGGCCTACGGCATCGGCACGTATGACCGGGTCAGCTACGCCGAGAGCTTCAAGAGGAGGTCGGCCATTGCGAGCAACACGAAGAGGCAAATATGAGGCGTGGTCGAAGACCAAGGAGGAGATGGACATGTTGATTTGATGTGGCTTCAGGCGCCCCTCACTCTGGGACGACCATTCTGTGCTTCTACCATTTTTTTTTTAACCATTTATAGCTATACTCATAGAATGCTCTTACTTAACGAGAATGATGACAACTGGTGTTCATTGATTTCCCCGTCGCTGTTGGTGAGCCCGTCACGGAAAATGTACGCTTTTACATGCAGCATACGAAATGGAGGATGCGTTCACATCTGTCTCTGTCTGCCTTCGTTGACTCTGACGTCAAGACAGACAGCTAGGAACCTTATCGAAGTCCGGGCCGTTAGTGAGACCTGCGAGATTGTCAGGCGGTGAGGCTGGGTGGCATTGGACCGAAGCGACCCCAGACTCTGTCGGGGTCATCTCCCGGGCAATCTCGTGAAAACCTGCCGCCCACAGGCGGTTCTGCCGCCAGAGTGCAGATTGCAGCGAGTGGATGGTAGCTGCGTGGTTAGTGGTTCGTCCAAACTTGGGAAGGTGCGATGCTACGTTGGCCGTAACTAGACAAGAGCGAAGAGCGATGAGCGAACAGGCAGGCATCACTGGCAAGCGAGAAAGCGCACCTGCTCGTGGCTGCCCGTCACAGAACACTGGCGGCTTTGCTGCCTGTGGCTCAGGCCACGAGAGTGAGTGAGCGGCAGTACTGTACTGTATTCGAACAGCGGAGGTTTGTCATTTCGGCTGGGTTCAGCCAACACCAGCCGAAACATCACAACCCTGGTCGCACAACCCGCATCAAACGCCAACATCCCACTTCCCACCCTGCCGCCCTCCTCGCTCGCATTTTCCTTGGTTGGCGTCTAGTCTCTTCCCTCCGAGTCCTTTATGCGTCCTGACTCGATGCCCGATCACCAATGGTCTCCCAACAGCGCATAACGGAGCCCCGCTCGCCGTCTACGACCGCGACACGTTGCTTCTCCCCTCCCGGGGCATGGCTGGGGCGGTTTCCCCACGTCAGGCACATCGAGCACAACCAATATGCACAAAGCACTGCCCGCTGCCGCCGCCATCCCACTGGCTCCGACGACCCGTTGCCCGCCGAACAGAGACGAGGCTTGCGGCCCAAGAGGGCTCCGCTGACGTCGACCCCCCCGGGCGCCGGTGCCCGCGAGCGGCCTCTGCACAGCACCACCATCGTCACAATCAATCTCGTCATTTGACTCGCCCGCCGGTGAGCCTGGACACCGCCAATGGTTTCTCTTTCTGCGAAAAGCCTACCCTGCTGAGCACCATTCGTTCGGATGCGCTGGCTGGTACCCCCCCACGGACATGGGTCCTGGCCGGGGATCGTCGGCTGTCCTCTCTCGCGTCTCGCTTTTTTTTTCCTTTGCTCTGTTTACTCGGAGCAGCACCAGGTCCAGGCGCTGCTGCTTGGCTGACACAATATATAGATCGGACGGAACCAGGCACGAACATCCCCCCGGTGTCATATCCCCTACTTTTGGTGTTTCGTCTGATACCAATTTGCTTATTGATTTTCCATCAGCTCTTTCGAACAGCATTGCTCTGCCCATTCCCCAACTCTCTCGCTCTCTCGCCGGTGAATCCACCCCTTGCAATTGACGTGTCCACGACGCTACGACGTCTAACGAAACAGCTGCAGCATCTTTCCTTTGATTTCCTCTTTTGGGAGGACCACCAGCGACAGGCGCCCCGGCGTGATTGCGTTTCAATTGCATCTTGATTTTTTACCCCATTACCTCTCTACACTTTTGGTCCCATCTCTCATCGTCTCCCCTCCAAGGGAACGCTGAAAGTTACCGACATGGCCACCACGATGGATGTCGAGGCTCTCGTAGCGCAAATGACCGAGAACTTGGCCGCCATCCACACCACAATTGCCGGACTTTCCACAAAAGAACACGACGCGAAGCTCGACGAGCTCGAAGAGAAGCGAGACGCACTTCTCGACGCCCTCCTCTCCGAATACGAAGCCGAGCTCGAGGAGCTTACGGCCCAGCGAGCCAAGGAAGAAGAGGAAATCACCGAGACCCGAAGGCGAGAGGACGAAGAGCGAGAAGCTCGCCGGAAGCAAGAAGATGACGAGTTGCTTGCGAAAAAGGATGCACAGGATGCCGAGCGCAGGGACAGACTCGCACGGGAAACCGATCTCGTGGAAGAAGAGGCCGACGAAGGCATCGATGCCGTCGAGGCCGAGGTGCAGAAGCTCCTGCAGGAGGGGCAGGCCAAGCTCTCCGAGCTGGAGGAGAAGCGAAAGGTAAGCTCGCTGCTGCCAACGCCCTGTGGCTTCGGTCGTTTGTCGTTGTGTGAGCGGACGCTGACGTGACGAATTAGGAAATCAACCGTTTGATCGATGAGCGAATGAGCAACCCGCTACCCACATTTGTGCCACGCAAACGCACGCGGGCGAAGACGGCCGATGCCCCCGCCGACATTCCTGTCGACACCGACGCCCCGGCTGATGTACCCGCCGACGTCGCTCCGGCGGCAGACCCGGACACGAAGGACGACGCTTCCGTTGACGATGCTCCCGCTACGGCGGCCAGATCCGCTGCACCCACCAACGGCCTTCTTGCCATCGAAGCTGCCCCCAATGCCGACGCCCTG